AAATATTATTTCATATATTCCAATACTAATATTTCATGTTTGTCCATTTTTGTAATATTTCTTGTTTGTAATCTCAGTTGGCAAGAATAAAATCGGCCGAATTTCTGTCTCAATTCTATAGATTTTTCAATACGTTTACCTTGATATAGCTATCGAAATACTTAGGCTTGTACTAAATTGTAATGAACAAACTCAAGTATTCAATTTTAAAAATTGGTAATAGTTTATAGTTGCAGTAATAAAAAAAAATAGTAGAAAGCTCAGATTTGTAGATTTTGACATTTCTGTTTTAAGATATAGTGCGACGGATGGTTGTTCTGGTGATTAAATATGTAATTAAAAATATTTGTTTATTTCTTAGGTATATACCGTTAAATCGTGACATAAGTGTGCTAAAAGTAATTTTGACCATTTTTTATTTACATTTCACCTTACAGGGACCCTCCCTTACCCTTACCAATTTTCTCTAAAAAGTAAATTCGCCTAATTTCTTGCATATATTTAGTAATTTGTTCTATTTTGCGTTTCGTAGTGACTTAGATACCGGTTTTAAGTAGGCGGAAATACTTGAAGTCCGTCTAAATAGACTATTCCAGTTAAATTATATTAAACTTAATGTAATTTGGTTTTGACGAATTAACGTTATTCTTAAGATGTATAACATAGATAATATGTTCGTAAGATGTTCTTAAAATGTATAACATATATAATACATACATAATACATGCATCTTCTTCTTCAAGTGCCGGCGGAGTTCCGCCAACCTAACTCGTAGTTCCAATTTTAAATCCATTGTACATAGCACTCTTCTCATTTTGTTGAAATTTGCTCTAGCCTTTTCTATTCTGATTTTGATCTCCTGAATGTAATCATTTGTGGAGTTAATCATTGTTCCCAGATATGCATATTTGTCCACTTGTTTAACGTTGAGTGGAGAAGATTCTCGTTATTTCTTTAAGTTTTCCATATTCTCATAAATTTCGTCTTCTTGACATTCACTGTTAGACCGTACTCTTTTTCATACTCCTCTATTCTGGTCACCAGTCTCTGAAGATTCAATATTTTCGGCTAAGATCACAGTGTCGTCCGCATATCTAATGTTGTTAAAGGGAACTTCATTTACCTTTATTCCAGCTGTTTCACCCTCAAGAGCGTTTTTCAGGATCTCTTCGGTGTAGGCATTAAAACTGTTTCACTCCACGTCTAATTTCAATTTCTTTTGATAGCTGTTTGTTAACATATACTTTTGCTGGCTGTTTATAGTATAAATTTGTTATGATCCTGAGGTCGTTGTAGTCAATCTACTTTGATTTCAAGATATTCATTAATTGTTTATGTCGTACTTTATCGAATGATTTATTATAATCAATAACAATAACATTCATACATATTTACAATTCTACCTTATTTTCTTGGTCCATATGTCCTTAATTATGTCCATAATGAATTATTTTTTGTGGGTATCGGTATAAATTTTTTATTGTTCTTACGCTGACTTTATTCTAACAGTTTACTATTAAATCTAGTTTAAACTTAAATTGAACTTAAATTAAAAACTGATGATAAGCTAAATGAGAAACGAAAGATATAACGCCAACAAACGCTGATGTCTTGTAACACTGTTCTTCATAAGAGTATGCAAAGTGACCGCAAAACACAGTATAGGTATATATTACGTCTATTGACTATTCTTTGGTTTTCCATAACTGTTTGACGTTTATTTATTGTTTTAAATTTAAAGCCCACTTTTTATCCAATTTTTAAGAGATTTCTCATAGCAGTTCATGTTCCCACCGGTTGTTTTCAATTTCTTTCTTTTTATTTTTATTATAGGTATTTCATTGCTGTTGTAGCTATTGTATATTGTGGTTTGCAATAGTTTTATAAGTGAAGCATCTATATATCTTGAAAATTTGTAGTCACATCGCTTCTTGCGATGATAGGATTCCTTTTTAACTATTGTGTATACAGTTGAAAGTGGAATTGCGGTTAAGTCAGAAGTTGCTTGTACCACCAGTTGTTCATCAAAGACGAATTTCTATGTAGATTTTTGTACACATTGAAACATACTTAGGTGTTTTAGCATTTAAATGCATTCGAATTTTCTTTAAGGATACTTTTTTTTTTAGACATACCGGCATTTTCACTTTCTACAAATCCAATATTGTTATTGACGCCACATAACTATTCAAAATAATTAAATTGCAGCAAACAACACTCTACACTCTATTAACGGACTGCTACATCACTATTCAAAATAATTAAATTTCAGCAAACAACACCCTACATTCTACTAATGAACTGCTACCCAACGAAAATGCTTCGCACAGGCATCCAATCGTTTGTAAAAATGAAGGGATCAAATGTAGCCGCATTTAAAACTTTCTAGAATAGAAAGATTTAGATACTGTTCAATTAAAATAAATCAATAAATGCTGATAAGTAGTCAGAACATTAACTTACTTTGTGAAACTCAGTGGGTCGCGGTTTTGAATCAGGCCAGGTGTGGAATTTTTTTATTAAAAAAAAAGAAAATTAAGAAATTATCATATTTATCGGATCGGTATTCGCCCGATAATGTAGGTATAACACCGCAATCTCTCGAATGTAATAAACGACTCTGTAAAGACAAAGCCGACTTTACTTATAACTAATAACCAGACATTTACTCTCAAAACTCATACTAAGCAAAATAATTATTCCCCTAAGAACCTTGATCACCATCATCATCGGCTCTACAACTCTAGGTTAGCCTTGGTCGCTTTGAGTATTTTCCTCCACTGCCGGTCTTGTGCAGTTATCTCCAATTATTGTATTATCCTATCTTTTTTTGGAAGACCAACTGACTACCATCGGGCCTACCAGTTTGACTTGATGTAGAGTACTATGTTTTATATCCATAGAGTGTCTAGAGTTCCTGATTATGTCTTCTTCTCCATTCCCTGTTGTCTCGTCTCTACAAAGCCCAAAGATAGTCCATAGTATCTTGCGTTCCAATACCAGTAATTTTGTTGCTTCACGCTGGTTCAGCGTCCATGTCTTGCTTCCATACGTTAGTGTGGGAGGAATTATGGTTTTATAAACTCTTATTTTTGCAGATTTAGGCACCGTCGCTAAGAAATAATATGTCCTGTTCCCTGAAATGACCCTAGCTTCCATGTCCTTTTCGTAGTTGTTTTCGGCTGTTATGGTTGCTGCTAGGTATTTGAATTATTCAACTACTTCGAAGTTGTATTCATTTATAGATACATTTTGTCTAACTCTTCGTCTTGAATTCTTAGTAACCATGTACTTGGTCTTATTCTTGTTAACCTTAAGACCAATTTCCCTGACTCCTTGTTCAAATATGGTGAAGACTTTTGCAGCACTGAATTTGAGGTCAGTAGTATTTTTTATTTCGGGACAGTAAAGTAATTTGTCAACTCTGGCTGTGTTTTTCTTGCTGCAAATTTCAAAACTAAGTTAAACAACAAAGAGGTAAGGGACCTCCTAGTCTAAGGCTAAAGAAGTTGCTCTAACGTGTTCTTGCCCATTCTGATCCATGTGGATAAGTTCTCTACAAACACCTGTGCTAAACATACCAGCTTTCTAGAGACTCCCATTTCCACCATAGTCTTCTACAAAACATCTATGCTTACAGAATTGTATGCTTGATCAAAATTTTCAAAGATCTGATGTATGTTGCTGTTATATTTCCAGTTATTGTCATGTACTCACTTTTATCGTTAGAAAATACACTAATAAAAAAATGAATGCTGAAAAGAATTATATGATTAAATGAAGTGCACAAATAATATGTTTAATAAAAATTGACGTTTTATATTAACAAATACTATCACCATTTGTGTATTCATAATTTGAGTTTCAATTTATATTTATAAAAAGTTCGTCAGTAACTGTTTTTATATTTCACGTAAAGATAATCACTTAATTGGGAAGAATAGCATTCCACAATTCTTTTAGATCAGCAATTTGCTAGGGATTTCCATTTCATGCCTATGTCCTCCTTAAATTTTATAGTGTATCTGTCATTGGTGTTGGTATTTGTAATTTAAATGCGGAGTAGATATGATATGCATTGTCCATCACTACCATCGAATCAGATTTAATGCTCCATAAAAGCTGTTTAACTGCCCTTTTTTTAAATAATGCAGTCAACTAAGTCAACCTTATGACAGTCAACTGAGTCTTTATATTTTTGGTCAATATAAACAAGGTACAAAGACATTAGTAGTCTCAGCATATAGAATTATTATAATTCATATTCAACTTAACAAGGCACAGTAAAAGAGCATATTTTGATATCAGCCATCCAAGCACATTTTGTGACAATGGGTATTAACCATGCTTATTTGCGTGTGAATGATAAATGGGATATCCTTGGAAGATTGGAGAAAGGAGAGAATTTGTGCAAGTGAGAGAAAATGGTATCTTCTTAATTTGCACACATTCAATCAAAGGTGATTATGATATTAATTTGACATCATGACATTCAATGAAGGATCATAGTTGGAAGTTATGAAGGAAAATTAATAAAGGTAACAGGGGACATTATTAAGCAAAACATTGGTCCAGCAAAAGTCCAGTGCTTCATGAAAAAATTAACAACTGTCAGAAATTCACTATTAGTGATGACTGGTTAAAAAGATGCAAGCATGGCATTTTAAGTATCTATGGAAGGAAATTGTCAGCCAAGGAGTAAACAACATACTGTAAGCTGTCCCAAAATTTAGAGAAGAATTTTTATGATTTATTAAGTCAAAACAGTTTTAATTTCACTGATTCCTCAAGTTGATGGGATGCTTAGTCCCTAAACCCATGAATTATGAATATCCACTGTAACTAAATTTGAATATACTTAACCTTTATAACTCCATAAAGCAATCAATTACAGTCCCTACTAATATGTGAAGTATCTTAATTCTTATAACTAAGTGAGTTTCCATCTATGTTATTAAGTTTTCATCACTTTAATAAAAAAATTAAAAATGTTAACTTACCCTTCTACTCTTTTGTCTCTTTCTGAAACCTTCCACAATTTTATAGTTTTATCATTAGTGGACAATAAGAAGTGAGATGGGTTCTTACGCCTTAACCACCTGATTTTATTGATTTTTTCTTCTATTTCTAAACTTTTTAAATAATCAAACTCTGGCTCATGTGATTGAAATGTGGAGTAAACATTATATTCTCCACGTTTTGGAAGAACAGTTTTTGAGACGGGATCACGTTGGAAAATAACTACTCTGCCTCCTTTGTCTCCAGTGGCAAGGAGTTCGCCATCGTGGTTGAACTCCACACATGATATTATATCTGCTTCAGTTACGTCGTCATCTAAGGTCCCCTTAACTTGAGAGAAACACCATTGAACTTCTCCATTACCTATAAGAAATATAAATAGAATTTAATCGAGATTAGATTATTGAAGATTTTAAAATATTAGTTATATAAGGCTTAAGTCACCTATTTGCATGTGCTGAGCTTTCATTTTCTGAATTACAGGATATGAAAAAGAGAATATCATATTCTTGTTTTAGATTGTTTGTATTTAGATCAATTGTTTCCTCTTGTGATATATGATATTAAACAACTGCTAGAGATGTTTGTTTGATGTAATAACAGTGTTGCCATTAATGATTATTATTATTATATTTGAAGTATGAATTTTTGGTTTGTTTTCTAGTATAGGTTCACCAACAATTATAAGACAAGACCAAATAAAGAATGGATTTGTATTTCTGGTGCACCATTATGTGTTCACATATTGTTATTATTATTAAAGTAAGTAAAGTGTTGGTCAGATAGCCAAGTGGGCTGGGCGGCCGGTTCTCATTCGCTTCACTGCGAATGGTTTAGTGGATGTGGGTTCGATCCAGCTCGGTAAACAGAAAAATAAAAAAGGCTAGCGCAGCAGTTTAAACTTCTAGATGAATCTGCGGCTTAGACTAGAATATGCTGGTGTCTGATCGGCCTATGGTGGAGCAGTGCGGTAAGAGATACGGGCTTGCGGCACGGTGATACTACTCCATAGATCCCTACCGAAAGGGCGTGCCGCCTAAATACCGGTGTACATATAACTAAGTAAAGTCAAAGTCCCAGTTGACTTCAATAAAAAATCGAAATAGATAGAAATAAACCAAATTTGGCATTTTCAGTATTAAAAGTTGGCCAATAAAGAACAGATTCGATTACATTATTATACTTATTGTCTTATACATTTTGGAAAAACAATTTTTTTTTTAAATAGGTAGGCATTCCATTGGTAAACTAAGGAAACAAAAATAATCAGTTAATTAAACCATAATTTCCTTATTATTGTAATTGTTTGGATTTTCCTGGTATTATCTACTAATTTTTATGAGTATTGTACACAAGACCGATGTTAATTGGCCAGGAAATATATGATTTTCTTTTAACTTTTTTGTCCACTATTTCAAAAACATGGAGCATTTAGAGGTGGAATGGTTCAAGCACGGGAAAATCTTAAATTTTAATGCACAATAAATCCTTCTGGATTTATTGATTTATAAAACCAAATCAAATTCTAACCTGACTTTTTAAAACATGTTGTTTCTACAAGCACAACGCTGGGTGTTAGTGACAGAATAGTTTGGAAAATTTGTCAGGTAGGATAATTTTTGGAAACTTACCCAAAATTCCCAAAAAGTTGACTTGCTTTACAAAGACTGTGAGTCAATTGAAAAAACTAATCCAAATAGAATTACTATTAAAGAACATGCGTCTCACATCTTTAAAAGTCCGTCCAATAGAGACGGTTTGTAGTCAAATTAACTTTTACATTGCTACCATAATCATCAGACTCATTAAAACAGAATGTGTTCAACAACTGTCACTGAACATTTGTCTCTACTAAACAGTAGCAAAATTATGTAAAGCATGTCATTGAACTAGAGAAAGAAATATGCATAGATGAAATTGTGTAGAAAGATATTCCACTACTGATTATCACAGTCAATATCCCCACTGCAAATGAGGATGGTTTTTCTGAAATAAATTATAATAGTTAGAGTTTTATATCCACAAGTGAATGCAATAATTTCTTCAAGGGAAAAGTTATTTTTTAAAGTCTCTGGCACATGTAAAAACATTGGGAACAATGGCGGAATGGAGTGAGTGGGTGATGAGTGTACTGATTCACAAACTATGCACAGCAGTATTGGAGTGCAGCATTACAATTTATATACCTATAAGCATACAATCTGTGGTTTGCGTGCTCTGTCTTTCTTGTCATGTTATTTGTTTGTCTCTTTTTTATCATACTTGTGCTTCTAAAAATGTAGGTTACCCAACTTGAAAATGAAAAATGGAAGTTTCGTTTTAAATAGTGAATAGTGCACAAAATCAATATATTACAATATGTGCCAACTGTGTCTTGTGATGTTAAAATAATATTTTCTGAATATAAATGTATGCTTTCGGATAACAAGAAGAAATTTTAATTTGAACATTTAATGCATGACATGGTTATTAAATGCAACTGAAACCTATTACTACTTTTTAGATTTTAGTTTAGTTTATTGGACAATTTTTATTATCTTGATTTTAAAATATATATGTGTATTATTGTTTATAGTAACAGAGCAGTCCTGCTATATGTATAATATGCATATTAAAGTGCATATTTTCAGACTTTTTAATACATAAAATTAATGCATGAAGAGATATTAAATGGCAAGCTAGCATGTCCTAAGGTTAATACTGAAACCTTCAATTGAATTTTAATGTTTTTCTGGATCATATCATGTTTTTGGTTTTTATAGGATATTTAATCCCCCTTCTTTTGACATGTTATCAATTTCAGAAATATTATCTCTAGATCTTTTTGATTGGTTAATTATATTAACCAAAAATTTGATATTAGTATTAATTATTTTAAATTGTTCTTGTGGAATTTTCAAGGGGATTCACTCAAAAACTTTACTTTTCTGTCCAAGTAGATTATTCTTCTAATATTGCCCAGAAATTACAATGCAGCATTATTATTACATATGTTAATTGTGTTAGAAAACTATAAGAACAATTGTTGGGGTTATTCGAAGTTACTTTGAGCCAGAGTGTAGAAACTTTGTTTAATCTCATGTTGAGTTGCCTTCAGAAATTTGATTGTGAATCTAAACTCATTGGCCAGTATTTTGATGGTTTTCAGGTTTCATGCACTGCTTAGCATATCACTTAAATTTGTTGCTTCAACAAAGCTGCAGCTGTATTTCTAAGTGCCAAATTTTTTTTGCAACCTTCCATCTTTCACAATTCTGCTAAGTGAACTCAGGTTTTTGACATAATTTTGGAAAAAGAATTCTCACTTTCAGCAGAACACAATGAACAACTAATTCCAAAATACTTAGAATGATAAATGACCAGTGAGATCCTGTGAAACAAGTTTTCCAATAAATTATTAGAAGATTTTTCATCCAATCAAGCAGCAGTAAGGCAAAGTAATGACTTCAGTAAATTGTGAAATTTTTAGTTTGCCATCTTAGTGCCATGATCTTGAAAAGATTCATTTTATATAGATAATGGTTATTAAATGGTTCAGGGATTATATCAAAGAATTCTCTACAGATGCATTTAAAAGTATATGAAACAGCTGATAATAACAACAACCAGTATCTATATAGTGGAATAACGGAATCAGGAAATCTTCTAAAAACATTGAATAAAACTAGTTCTATTTTATAAGAAGTTTATAAATTAATGTGCTTGATTGTGACCACTTCATCCACAAGTGTTTAGGTAGAACAGTAATGAGACTGCACAACACAATGACCAAAGATGGACTTTCAAACTTATCAAAAATTTAAATACAAAAGGATCAAATGAACAAACTGATTAATATACACCTGTTTTATGAAGACATCGTCTACAAATTTGCAAGTCTAAAAAATAGGAGAATTAACCTCAATTATCAAATTAATATTAATATTAAATTAATTAAAATTAATATTAAATTCACAGAATACTTAAGACCCCATGAACTGACAAATGTCACAAATGAGGAGGTCCTCAGAAGAATGAATAAGAACCGAGAGGTACTGACCACCATTAAATCTCGAAAGTTACAATTCTTCAGAAATTAATCCAGATATGCTCTCCTTCAAGCCATCCTGCAAGGAAAAATATTTGGAATGCGAGGTCCAGGAAGAAAAAGATCTTGGTTAAAGAACCTCAGAATCTGGTTCAATACAACATCCGTGCAGCTTTTCCGCGCTGCTGCAGATAAGATGAAGATTGCCATGATGATCGCCAACATTCGTAATGGATAGGCACATCAAGAAGATCAAATTAACTATGTTGTAAGTGAAGTCTGTTTTATTAAAGGTGGTATTGTGTTTCAACCTAATTAGATCTTGTAACTACTGTTTCAAAAAGGATCCTTTCCTATTGCCCTATATTTGAGTATTGGAATTAGATGAAGGGTTGTAGTTGGGTAAGTTAGAAAAAAAAATGAAAAAATGGGAAAGTATGGTATGCATTAGTTATGTTAGTATAGCTTGCGCAGAGAAAAGTCTGACAAACTTTGCTTCACTTCTTTCAAGAGCCGCCACTGATAGATTGAATTGAATTTTTATGTATAAACCTCAGGAAAAAAGATCAAAGAAATTCTACACAATATAAGACATCAAATTTTGCTTTAAGCAATATACTATATGTATGAAAGATATTTTATTGTAATATTTAAGCTTTGGAAAGAATTTCTATTAATATTATAGTAAAATAATTAAAAGTTTCAACATTATTAATGGATTTTCCCTTTCCTTTCCAATTTGTATGAATGTTCCACTGTATGTGTAAGATATCATTAGTATTGCAGCTGGTTCTTTAAAATGCTCTGTCTTATAATAGTCCTGTTCTAGCATTTAAAATATTCACAATTTTTTTTATGGTCTACAAAACTCCTGAAGCAGGAGCCTTTTAGCCTTTTCTAACTTTTTTTTAATAATATCACATATTTAGGTTAAATTTAGAAAAATCTATTTAAAAATGGTTTAATTTCTCGTTAGTTTTCACTGATCTTACTATTTTGTTTCATATTCCTATTTTCATGAAAGTAAAAAATTACATTTTATTGGACTCAATTCATCTAGATTCAAATTGACAATTCATACATATATATTCTAAAGTAGATGACTTTAAAATAATATTGTCAATATTTTTGGGTTGTGTTCCTGAGATGACTTCAAGTGGAAGATAGTTCATAGAGAACATGAAATCAACTTTAATTACCTTGACTATGTCAGGTATCCCCAGAGGCAATGTGCATACTTTTTCAACTGTGCTGTAGCAAAATTGACGTTTTTTTATAACAAAATGTCGCATCATGTGGTAGCGATAAAAATGGTATTTGTCTATCATTTAAGTACAACAAATAACCATCGATAACAACTTTTTAATTCTTGCTACTGATATCCATAATATGAGACATGCCCTCAGAGACCAACGACAAACAAAGCGATAAACAAAAATTTATTTTTATCATGCGTCACAAAATCTGAGAGACATGTATCATTTGTTTCAATTTGTAACAATTTTGTAGTAAGAAACCAACATTTGAATTAAGTATGCAACACCCAAGAAAATCCAGATTAAATTTATGGACAGCCACAAACAAAACTGAAATAAAAGCCTTTCTAATTCTAATGTGTAATAAAAGCCATGGCTCTTACTCAGGTACCATAAATTTATTGCAAAAGGTTTGACCATCTTTTGCTTTTATTGAAACATCTTCATTGTGAAAATAATGAGCCATCTGATATAACTAATAGATTATACAAAATATAAAGTTTAGTTATGAAGCTAATTCAAAATTTTCATGGTATAATGGAGCCTGGCAACATTTTCGTTAAAGATGAATCTCCATTTTCATCAGTAAATCCTTAACAAGACTCATAAATATGGAGTGAAACTGTACAAACCCTATTCACCTGAAGGCCATACTTTTAATGTAAGCATTTATACAGGAAAAAATAAACAACAGGTTAGTTAATGTGGTACACTCTGAAGAAGTTGTTCTAAAATTACTTCAGTGTATCACATAAAAGCTGGCAAAATATTATTTGCTGATAACTTTTAGTCAGGAATACCTCTCATTAAAAGACTGTTAACATAAAATATAATGTACTGCGGGACTCAGAGAAAACAGTGGAGTACCACCTACTTTTAACCCCAAAAAGATAAAGCGAACAGAGGTTATTGGAAAAAAGAAAGGTGGACTAATAATTATAAAGTGGATGAATGAGATACATGTGTTAATCATTTCAAGTGTCCCAGCCCAAAGTAAAAAGTTAATTACAACAGGACCCCAGAATAGGCAAAAATAGAATATTGTGAAACCAAAATGTACGATTCATTACAACTCTGTAAAGAAAAGTATAGACCATTCTGACCAGGTGTCATCCTACCATACCATGCTACATCAAAGCTTGAAATGGTACTGGTAAGAAATAAAATAGGTTTTAATTTTAATCTCTTTTAATACCTATTTTTTGTACAAATTTAGCATTTCAGATGATCCTTGGAACAGCTATTGTTAATAGTTTAATTATATTCAACATGTGCTCTGAAACAAAAATGAGCATTACAGAATTTCAATCACAAGAAGAAAAACGACTTCCAGGTTTTGGAACAACTCACAAGAAAAAAGTGCATACTTATACAAAAAACCAAAATGACCTGGAAGGAATCAATGATAGCCATGTAGAGTCAGGTTCATCAAGTATTAAAATCTTCAGGTTTAAGTTACTGTTAAGTAGATAAAAGGTTCATAGGATTATAACTTTTTGTTCAGACTTTCCTGGTTAACCTGGATATTGTTTGTCTGGTTTTAACAAGGCACAAAGAAGCAGAAATGACCAATTAATTTTTAAATGTGTTTTTTCTGTTTATTATAATATAAAATATTTATAAACATCTTTAATTTTATTCAATTACATCCAAGAGGGATGCCAAACCAATAGGGAAGAACAGAAGAGGAAGACCCATTAAAGAATGGAACAGTGACATATTGCAGATACTGCAGAGTAAGGGTAAGACTTTGCAGGAAGCAACACAGATGGCATACAATAGGAAGGAATGAAGAAAGTTTGTCAAGAGCTAGGACACCTCAGAAGATTGTAAAATATTTTAATATAAAGAATTGTATTATAAACGGCCCAACACCAAAAGGTACAAATGGGTCTACTGATTAAGTAAGTAAGTAAGTACATCCAAGAGTAAATTTGTTTAGATGTCTCTGTGCTATAACAGCATGTCCTGTTTGAGAGGAAAGTAGATTAATACATCTCTAATAGTTTTCTCTATGCAAAATATGCAAAAGTTATACTTCTGTTTACTAGAACGCATGAAGTACCTACATGCACACACATGCCATACATAGCAAGTGACACATATACAGAATAGAGGCTAACATATCTCTGGGGTCATGAGAAGCAAGAACTAGTTTATTAAGTATTTAACCGCAACAGTCAAAGTGTTATAACTGTCACAAAAACATAGTTATCACAGTTATAACAATACTGATATGGTAAGTATTTGGTCTTACATTTAGTTTACTATCAATATTAACATCACACTCTGATTTTATTTGTATGTTATTTTAAAACACAAATCTGTATCCTGGATATTTTATTGACTTAATAGTGGTATTTTCTTTATATTTCCTCTTTTAATATGGATAACCAGATCCTACTGCATTCTGCTGAGGAATGTGAGACACAATTGGTTTAATTTAACATAATTAGAGCAGGTTCTTTGATTTTTCTTTTCAAACCATGTTTGTTTCCGTCTTTTGAATATTTCCGTCTCTGAATTTTACTAAGTAATAAAAACCAGATTTGTTTAATTTGTTAATGTTTTGTATTCTAGGGAGTATAAGAGTTATTTTGGTATATAAAACCAATGAATGACATACGCTTCTAAACTTGCTCCTTATATATTTTTAAATAAATTTTATTCTTTTTTTATTTAAATTTCAGTTGATTTGGGTATACAGATAACCCATATTATAAATTTATGTTTATAAATACTTAAAGGGCTAAATTAAGCACACTATTATAAAAAGGGAAATATTAAAAAACTACCAGGAATTGGAGTAGTTCATCAAATAAGTTTTAATCACTAGGTCCATTTGTTCCATAAAATTAGCACTAAATTTGTATACTAAAATGTTTAATAACAATTACTTAATAATTTTACTTATTATTATTTTTCTAGAATTTGGTCTCCTTCCCATCATAGTCATAAAACCAGGTAGTGGCATTGTTCTCAACATGTGTTTAAATAGTATAATATTGACAAACTGATATACAAATTATCAAATTAACACTTCTCACTACACATATATACTAAGATACTACCTAAAGTATAGACACAACTCCTAAGATCTAAAATAGTTTATAAAGGAGAAAACCAAAAAATAAGGTTGTTTATTAATTTTTAATGTCAAACAAGTATCTATATAAGGGCATGTGTGTTAACTCCATACCTAATACTTACATTTTTGAAATTACTTAATACAATTTGCACAAATTTAAGATCAATACCTAGACCTAGACAATACGCAATTTACATACTTAAATGTATCACAATGTTATAACTCTCAATAATTATGCCGATTAGGGTTATGCCTTAAAAACTGAAAGTACTCAAAAATTGTAGTCATTTAATACCTATATTTATGAATTGCACTAAAAATCTAAAGTTTGAGTCGAAAAACAACAAGATAACACAACTATTTATCACAAATATTACTAAATTGCTGATGAAAAAATACTAGCTTTACTTTGGCAAGGTGGTTAAAAAACTACACCGACAAGTCAATATCTTTTTAACGTTCATAGCTCACTAAACGATATAAATTAAGAACAAAATCAAGTTACCTTCCATAATTTAACAAATTGCGATTGTTTTGCAGAAGAAATATTCACATAGCCCCTCATCGGGGTCACACTGTTGTCGAAAACCGAAACAACTTACCAGCAGCCATAACACAATACACGAGCGGGATATTCGAATCGGTAACAGTACTTATTGCTTTTTTCCCTTTTAACTAATTAATTACTTTATTTTTTATTTCTCATATGACTATTTGTATAGGAAATAAATATAAAAAATTATATATATAGTGTAAATACACTTTTTCAAAGTAGCGTCATGGGTTCACTTTTTGCAGTGTTGCCAAAATTAAAATGATGGGAGAATGAATATGGGTTTGAGAACCTTAAGAAATCAATCTTAAATGTGAAGTATTTACATTAATAACTTCATATCATATTCTGGAAAAGTGTTGTTTAGTTTGGAAAATAATTTGTTTGCTGTAATGTACAATTAAAATTCAACTATACTAATTTTATCAATTTTAAAATTACTTTATATTTGATTTATATCTGGTGATTTTTGAGTTTTAGGTTTATTACGTCTTACGTTTCCAGACTACTTAATTTTAAAGCATGCAGTGTTGGGCTTACTGACATGACAACAGGATTTTCTTAGTCGTCAGGCTTGCCAGTTCAAAATTAGTTGTCATTTTTTTCCTACAAAAATTTGAATTTTTTGTTTACTAAATTAGCTGTTCTTTAGTTTTTGGTTTTATGTTAACTAATTCTATGGAACAAATTAATAAAGTCAGTCTTTTATGGCTAGGAGTACATACGAATTGGATTATTCCTCTGCAAGATATACTCTAATTGAATAAGTTTTTCTGAAACTATATTGACATTTTTGAGTTTTTCACGAACAAAAAATTTAATAAACTTTATTTTATTGAAATATAAATGATTAATGGAGCAGGAAAAAAATATGTAAGTAGAGTTCCCCGCTTGTAAAATTGTAAGTAAGTAACTTCCTCGTTTGTTAATATGATTATCATTGTTGCTACTGTCTGCTGGTCCTACAAGTATTGAATAGATAATTTCGTCGGCTGACAAGTAAAACTCACTAAGTGCAATTTTGAAAGAACAGATATATTCAAGTTTTAAAGCATATTTTATTGTAAAAAATCCATTTTCGAGCCAATTTAATAACGATGTTTTTCTTTAATTTTCTTTCGTTGCCTGGAGTAATTGCGATAAATCAGAATTATGTAGTTGATTTCTAAAATGCGATTATCTCGAAAACTTTGAAGATACTAACAAGTATATCTTTTTTTTTTTTTTGTTAAAATAATGAATCTTTAATATTTTTTATTAAAAATACCGGTTACTTGAATAGCAAAAAAGTTACATGCAAATGTATGCCACATATGTGGCATATGTAGCGCCCTCTATCAGTTACATCAAAGTGTACATCAAATTATAATTTCTCATATTTAATAGTACCCAGTTGTAAATTTTTATACATAAATGTTGGCAAACATGAAAGTTATAGCGAAAAATAAAATTTTAAATTTCCACTTTAACCCCTGTATCTCTCTTAATATCAACATTTTATTAAAGCAACTTGACCTAAATCGGAATATTTTAAAGTGTAGAATCTACAGTTTCTTTTTGTACAATTACTTAAGGACCACCCTGTATATATAAAGGGTGTCTCAGAGCAGATTTTAGTTTTTAAATCAATAAAACTCTGTTTCAGAACCTGCTAGAAAAACATTTATTACGAAAATAGACACACAGAACATGCGGATTTTATTTCTTAAATTACACGTCGGTTAGATGTTGACTATCTCGCTCGTAGCACTCTTGCAATCTGGATCGCAAATTGAGAAAGACGCTCTCACACATATTCACTGGAATGTTGTTAATAGCGTTACGAATTACGAATATATATATATATATATATATATATATATATATATATATATATATATATATATATATATAATATATATATATATATATATATATATATATATATATATATATATACAGTGGAACCTCGATTAACCGTCTCTCTATTAACCGTCACCTCTGTTAACCGTCATGGTCCATACATAAGTTATATTGACAACATAAGTAAAAATTTAGTCATCAATTCATTTTGTTTGAAAAAAATTTTCCACCAAAGGCGATTCTCATTTTGGACAAGATACCTACACATCCTAAAGCCGGTATACTGCGGAGTGACAAAAATATCACGTACTCTTTTCTGCGAATACAACATCATTGATACAGCCAATGGATCATTCGGTCATTAAAATATTCAATAGAAGATACAGAACAAAACTTAATTAAATCCTAGTCATGGAAGTAACGCTGGAAAGAACGTGGAATAAATTATGGCCTGAATCAACTTAAGATGAAAATGCTCCCCTTAAATGAAGTTTGAATCAACTGTTTTGTTTTCGTTGCCTAAAGATGACATAAACGAATGGTTCATTTGTGATGAGGACGTAAACGGCTATCGATTGCTGACAGATGATGAAATCGTTGAAATGGCGACAGAGGCGGACGAAACTGATTCAGAAGCTGACAGAGACTTTGATGGTGGCGATGTTGATGCTGTTATAACTCACATAGCTTTGCGTAAAGAAGCTAAAGGAGCTGCATCGCACATACAACAATTCATCAAATGGTATTCTCGGCAAGAAGAAGCAAACAAGGTGATTTGATAATTCTACGTCGATTAAGAAATTCAGCCGTTGCAAAATGTGAAGTAACAATAAAACAAACAAATATTTCGGAATAATTTATATTAAATGGATTCGACTGTACTAACATAAATTCCTCTTACATTGTCAAATAAAACATACAAATAAAATTTGAGAATTATTATACTCTGTATTTTTTTTTAATGTTCTGTTAACCGTCTTTTCGGTTATCCGTCATACCCTTGGTCCGGTGCCCTGACGGATAATCGAGGTTCCACTGTATATATATATATGTATATATATATATATATATATATATATATATATATTATAATGATTTTATTAGTCCTAATTTATTGTCTTTAGTCTAATTTATTAAAACTCACGATAATTTATCAAAAGTCTTTATTTTATACTAATTTATTTGCGTTCGATACAATTTTAACCCGATATCCGCAATCTTCTTATTGACTAACTCCCTCAATAAAATTCATGGTATTTATATATAAAATGCCGCTCTCGAAAAGTCTGGGGATGCACCAATGACGTTCCATCCAGTAGGTGACTCATCCAGCGGGGCTCGAAAAGTCAATCGTATTCTGGTAAATTCAGAGAATCGTCGCCGACGGCTAAACTGGTTATCCGACCCTTTTGTGGAATTATCTGACCTAGAACATTCGTGAATGAGTAAATATATTTACAGTTTTTATACGTCATAATATATTCATTATTTATATTTTATTTATCGTAACATTGCCCCCCTCTTAAAAGATGGTTCCTCCTGGAACCTTGTTGGGACTGGAACTGGAACGGTATGCTGGTATCTGCAACTGGACCCTCTTTTACAACTTCCAGTTGTATAAAAATGACAAGGGATGGTTTTCTCTCCGCACCAGGAACTATGAGGATTGCAACAGACTAACACCTGGACTTCGGTGTCTTTAAAGATTTCCTTCACCATATTTCGTATAACCCTCCAATCTAATTGGCGGCACTCCAACTTTGGCATGGCTAACTTTTGCACGTCGGACTCTAGTACGTGCTCTCTCAACTGAAGTAAGGCTTCCCATACATCTCGGTAGGTAGGTTGGTCACGAGCATTGTCTTTTGTTACCAGGTAGAAAAGGTAACGTGATACATCTTGTAGTTTCAAGGTTTTACCTGGAGTTGGCATTTGGCATTAAAGTTCTGCAACTCGACCAAACTTGTTAGGTCCAGTGAGTAGTCATCGGGAAGCGCGAGTAGATCTTGCCTTTCCTCAGTGGTAACACCATGTCTTGCTAATTCTGCCAATATATAGTATAGTCTACCTAAATTTGGTTTGCAGTAAAAGATGGTCTGATCCACAGCATGCTCCTCGTCGTGTTCTCACATCAGAGATACTACTGGCTGCCCTTTTGTCTATCATCACATGGTCAATTTGATTGGTTGTGGTTCCATCTGGTGAGATCCACGTCATTTTGTGTATGTCTTTATGTGGGAAGCATGTGGAGCTTATAACCATGTTTTTACTGGTGGCAAAATTTATCAAAAACTCCCCATTCTCGCTTGTTTCATTGTGCAGTGAGTGTTTTCCTGTTGTGCCATAGAACTGCGGTCCCTTGCCTATTTTGGCATTCATATCTCCCATTATAACCTTAATGTCATTTTTTGGCGCGTTGTCATATACTATCTCCAGCTGTTGGTAGAAGCTTTCCTTTGTATGTTGCTCTTGTTCATCTGTTGGGCAGTAGATGTTTATCATAGTAAGGTTGAAGAAGTGGGTGCGAATTCTTAGTTTGCATATCCTTTCATTCACTGCCTAAAAGTCTATGATTTTTGACTTAAAATCATTATCTACCACAAATGCAACTCCACATTCTTTGATTCCTTGTTCTTTGCCACTATATAGAATTGTGTGCGTTTTGGTGTCCCTGACACCTTTCCCCAGCCACCTTGTCTCCTGAAGAGCAGTGATTATAAGATTATATCTTTTTAGTTCTTGTAGAAGTGCAGTTTGAGCTCCTGGTCTATTTAGCGTCCTCACATTCCAACTTCCAAATGCATAGTCCATGTTTCGTAGCTTTAGTCGTTTCCGAAAGTTCCCCTTGTTCCGAGGCAAATGTTTAGGTTTCATAACAGTGTGTTTTTCCGGGAGTGGGTTGTTAGCCCACTGCCCAACCTTCCTCCTTTACCCGGGCTTAGGACCGGCAATGGTGACTCCTGAGCTATTAAATCCACCCATTAGTCACCACAGGCGGAGTTAATTAGCAATACCACATAAGCTAATTAGACTCATTAAAGCCACAATGGATGAAACTTAGACATGTGTACGAATACAAAACAACCGGACAGACTTTTTCAAAATCTCGCAGGGACTAAAGCAGGGAGATGGGCTGGCACCAACATTGTTTAACCTGGCACTGGAGTATGCGGTCAGGCAAATGCAAACTGGACGAGAAAACC